ACCAATCTCTACGAACAATCTCACAGAGGGCCGAACTGAGGCATAAAGGGACCGAGCTAAAGGGACCTGTTAGAAAAACGTAGAAGCTGTGAATGCATGCACATGGAGGATACCACCTCAGCTGGTCCCCTCCTCCTAGAATCACGTAAACAGTTGATAGAAGGAATGTAATCTGTTACAAACATGGTTACAATGAGTATATACACCCCTAGTTAGCTACCAGATGGTCCCCCCACCTGGGGCAATGCTAAAATGAAACTTGGCAGCACCAGAGCTCCGTGAAACCATCTTGGGCAACAAGTAAGGGGTTCTATATAAACTACACTGACTTCACATTGAAGGTAATTGATCTAAGCTTAACAACACTCACTTAAACATAACTCTCTACACCTAGAGACGGGTTCTCATCTTCTCTAATTACTTACTCCCACACTGGAGGGGTCGTCCGGCCAACCCCGGCCAGACAGCTCTGACGGAGCTTATTGTTTTAGGGTCTCAATTCCCGGGTAGTCCAGTCAAGTGCGGGGTTTCGATCCACAATCATCTAGTGCAGTAATCGATACACATAGTACACGTTAATCTAAAAATTATAAACGTTATGTCCTTATTTTTAAATGTCAAGAGATAAATCGTACATGAAAAGAAAGTAAAAATTAATTTTAAAAATTCATTAACGACCTCAAAAATCTAATATTAATGAAAAAAAAATGTTGATTCTATAATATTTTTTTTTTGGTTTTCATATTAAAAATAAATAAATTTACGATCAGTTTTACAAATATATCTCCTAGTTTTACAAATGTTATGTGTCTATTAATTTTATTGTTTTGGGCCCCAAAGTCTCTTAAGCCAGCCCTGCTACTGTGCATTTGATGAGGTTTACACGGGGTCTCACTATGATAATTCAAATCGTTCATTTTTGAAATACATTAAGTAGAACATATCTATAAAAAAAAATGATTAACTTAATTTTTTTTAGGTATGTTTTATTCGATGTACTTAAAAAATGAATAATTCGAATCATCAAAGTGCACTACATAACAATGGTTGATGTGTTAATTTTTTACATGCCGCACAACAGCCGCACAAATTCAGGGCTCTTGGTAGCTTGTCCAATTGTTAACTTTAGAGCTTTGAGATTAGTAGAAATGTGTACAAACTGACCCAGACATAATTACAAAAAATAAAAAAAATAGATTGTATTAATATAGCTAATATTCAATTGAATTTGTTAATTGTTACTCTTCTGTTATACATTAATTATATTTATTACTCATATTGCATATTCCTGTGAAGGAAAAAAAAAAATATTAAAAGAGTTTCACAATAGAGAGGATGACAGTCTACTCATGAAGTCCCAATGCCACGTCTTTCAGGAAGGTGTTTTTAAAACACAGAAAAATGGTTTAGGGAGATAGAATGCAATCTTGGTGAGTAGTTGATTTGTACCAAACTTTTATTGTAAGTTTTTATTTATTTATTTATATACTTGATGGGTTTAATTTTGGAGAAGATGGTGTGATTTATATTTAGGTTAGGAAAATGCTAAACATATTGAATTAATCGATTAAAGAATCTAAAACCATGGGCCAATCACATAAAAAGGATCAATATATAACACACATTTTAAAAAATAATATGGGTCAGGCTTTTGATAGGAAAACATTATACACTTTATAACTAAAAAAAATAAAAGATGACAAAACTTTAATTTTATGAGTCATGATCACTACCAAAAAAAAAAAAAAATAATAATAATTAAACACAATATGAGACGTAACTAAAGAATTCATAAGTCATAATTAAAATAATGTCATTACTAAAAAAAAATTAAAAATTGGTCATAACTAAAAAAAAAAATGATACAACTAGGATTACATATAGTACATCTTTTTAGAAAGGTATATATTAGAATTTTCCCTTTTAATAACACATATTTTAGCGGGCTTGATCGATTGATTTTGTTTGAACAAAATAGTTCATACTTTTTAGATCATGAAGAAGGAAAATGAAAATCAGAATCACCCAGTCTAAAACCGATTTCGTCATTAAGAGCTAACCTCATCAACAAAGTGTAATATTATACACATTAATCCATTACCAACAAAGTGTCATAACTATCTATTAACTAAAATTTTATTTTGAAGCACATCAACTTTTGCCCCAAAAAAAAAAAAAAAAAATCAAATTTTCCACATCAAAAAAATGTTAAAAATTATTAATAAATTCAAATTTCTTCTAATCTGCGCCTATATAAAATTAAAATAAAAATGCCACATGTCGATTTATGGCTGAAAGTGGGCCTCATACAACATTGTTCTTATAAGTTGTAACCAATGTTTGTTGAATCAAACTTCTTCTAATCTTCTCCTATATAAAATTAAAATAAAAATGCCACATGTCGATTTATGGCTGAAAGTGGGCCTCATACAACATTGTTCTTATAAGTTGTAACCAATGTTTGTTGAATCAAACCGGACCTAGTTTTGGTTCAGATGACCCCCTAAAATCAGACTATGTCAAAAACCAGCCTCTTTTGAGAGAATTGGGAAAATCATGGTTCAACTGGCCAAACCGATCCCAGTTTTGTAGAAACCTACCGGTTGAGATTTCGTTTTTTATTTTTTATTTTTCTTCTTTCCTTTTCCTTCTTTCTTATATATATATATATATATATATTTCAAAATTTTAATTAAAAATTCTTACTTCAAGAGTCTCCTCTTCTCATGAGGAGTCTCATTGAAAGTTTGAGGAGATTACGGAAATTTATTCTTATTTATAGGAAAAGATTTTTCAAAGAGAACTTGAAAATTCTATGTTGGATTCCATGAAATTATTTGAATCATATTGATTGGAGTGAGAGTTGAAAATCTCATTTCCCTCCAAAATTAAATATGACATTCAATCAATTTGTTTGGAATGAATGTTCAAATTTTTAAATTTCTTTAAAACTAGTATTTTTTTTTTCTATTAATTGTGACTTTATTAAATATTATTAGTAAATACAAGTAAATACAATGCAACAATTTTTATTTTTATTTTTATTTCAGTACTTATATATATTTTTATTTATTTATAATTTATAATTATATTTTTTTAATTAGATATTATTGATTATGGTGTTACAGTTCAACTACTTCGACTCAATGGTTGAATTGGTGATCCATCCGCCTGATTTATTTTTTAGTTCGTTCATTGGTCTAATTTTCAAAACGTTAATTGTAACAGTGAGATTTTTGGTTGTAATGTGGTAAGTGGGCCTCATATAGCATTGTTTTTGGGGTTTCTTACTGGCCGGTCCTACCTTTTACACTTATTCCCCTCTTAGTCCTGAGTTTTGCTCTTGTGCACCAACAGGCCCTGAGCCTTTTTTTTTGGTACCGTATTACCCCTCTCCTATTTTGGCGCGTTTCTGTTTGGATTTTCCATCAAAATATTGTGTTTGTGATTTGGATTTCTGTGGAACTTCACGATTTCCTACTGTATTATTGTGGAGCTTCATGATTTCTGATTTCGCACTTGGTGTATCTTCGCGATTTGTGATTTGCGATTGCGTGCTTGGTGATTCTTCCTATTTGCGATTTCGCGTTTGGTGTATAGTTACATTTTTTGATTTGCGATGTTGTGGAGTTAGGTCAACTGGTATGTTTGATTTTGATTTTAATTTCAATGTTTTGCTTCTTTTTAGTTTGAGTTGGTGATTTTGATTTTGTGGTGATATTGTTGTTACTCTATTATTTCTGTTGCGATTGAATTTGTGTTTTGATTATGATATTGAAAGTTTTGAGATATGTATATGTTGATTGAATTTTAGATTTTTATTTTTTTTGGTTACGAAATTGTGTTGATTGAACACAGGTGTTAGTTTGTTATTTTATACAGTGATAATTTTATCACTGTGTATTTTGGAGGTGTTGTTGGATTAACTTTTTCAATAGTGATAAATTTATGAGTGAGTATGGGAATAGGAGATGAAAAGGTTGCATAATGTAATGGTAAGATTCAAATCGAGTTACCATGTTTAATAAGTGTAAGCCTTATTCACTGTTCTTGGTCTTTGGTGGTGTTAACTGTTAAAGTTATCAGTATTGGTTTTTGGATGTGTTTGAGTTGGTTGATAATTTTATCACTGTATTTGATTTTGTTTTAGGGTGTTTGAGTTGTTTGCTAAAATATAATTGTTGTTTGTTGCAGGATTTATAGTGATGGAGAATTGTTTGTTTCTTATGTGCAAGTTTAGAGGTGTGACATTGGTTATCAAGTATAATGATGGATTTAATTTCAAGGATTTAGTATGCAAATTGTGTCCAAAGTGAAGTGAGTTAGTTGGTAGTTCTTTGAATATATCGTATTCAATGCCTGGACATTCTTGTTGTGGTCTACAAAGTGAAGAGGATTTGGAGGTTATGGTTGGACTGACACTTTCTTGTGATATTCATTGTATTGATGTTTTTGTAAAGTGTTGTTCTTTGGGTGAAGGTTATATGATTTGTGATAGTGAAGCTAATAGTAGTAGTAGTAGTGTTGTTTGTGAAACTGATTTTTTGCCTTCATTTTATTCAAATCAATGGAAACCTTTACTGTCCGATGAGTGGGTTAATTGTATGAAAGGAGTGGGACAAAAGTTTGCTCAAGAAGTTGTTGAATTTCGAGATGCGTTGTCAAAGTATTCTATTCATTCCGGTTTTAATTTTGATTTTGTTAAGAATGATAAGGATCGTGTCACTATTCATTGTAAGAGAATGGCTGATTTGGGATGTTTATGGAGCGTGCATGCTAGAGTAGAAAATTATAGTAAAGCTTTTGTTATTAAACAATTTGATGATGTTCATACTTGTGGATCTTCTTTTTGTACAATTAAACATGCTAGGATGACTTCAAGTATGATTGGTGGGCTAATTTCAAGTGATATTCGTAATAAGGCTTTGACATCGGTTAGTGAGGTGGTTTGTGATTTCAAGGACTATTATGGAACAGAAGTTTCTTATTGTTGAGCTTGGATGGGTGTTGAAAAAGCAAGGGGTCTTGTTTTTGGTGACTATTCATCATCATTTGACGATCTTTGTTGGTATGTTGATGCCGCTAATGCTTGCAATCCGGGGAGTGTTTTCGATATGAAATTTGATATTGATAGTAAAGGAAGACATTTCAAATGCTTGTTTTTTTGCTTTTGAGGCATGTATTCATGGTTTCAAGTATTGTAGGCTTGTGTTGATGCTTGATGGAACTTTCTTGAAAGGAAGACACAAAGGTTGTTTATTGGCTGCTATGGCAAAAGATGGTAACCAAAGTATATTTTGTGTCTATTTGTTATTATTATTGAAACAGTGATAATTCTATCATTTTTGTTACTGGTGAGTGCTGATTATTGAGTATGGTCAATCTATTAGTGATAAATTTATGTTGTATACTTTTGTTAAATTTTTATATTTATACAGTGATAAATTTATCTATGGCTGGTGCTATATGTTATATACTTTGTGTTTTGATTTCTTTTTGTAATTTTTTTTATTTGTTATTGATAACGTGTATATATATTTTGTTTATAGGTTTATATCCGTTATGTTTTTCTATTGTTGATAGTGAAAGTTATGACAGTTGGCATTGGTTCTTGTCAAAGTTATTAGGTATTTTGACTCCGGAGAAGGATATTGCGTTTGTTACTGATCGACATAGAGGTTTGCTGAAAGCTTTAGCTGAGGTCTTTCCGTTTTCTTCTCATTCTTTTTGTCTAATGCATTTGAAGGCAAACTTGAAGACTTATTTGTCAGTGAAGAGTCGTGAATCTAAAGAGTATTTGCTTACTCTTTTTAGTAGATGTGCATATGCTCCTACTATTGAGTTGTTTAATGAGCTATTTGAAGAATTTAAGGGTCGTTGTGGTCGTAGTGTTGAGAAGTTTCTTGAGGATTTGCCTAATGAGTGTTGGTGTAACGCTTATTTTCAAGGCAAGAGGTATGGTGAAATGTGCACAAATGCTGCAGAATCTTTTAATTCATGGATTAGGGATGAACGCCATTTGTTTTCAACTAGTCTTGTTGATGCTATACGGGTGAAACTAATAGAGCAATTTTCAAGAAGGAGAGAAGCTGGGAATAAGTGGAATCATATTGTTTGTCCTTTTGCAGAGAAAAAGTTAGAAGAAGCTTTTAATGATACAAAAACATGGATAGTTAAGAAATGTAGCGATGACATTTATGAAATCTAACTGGATCATTCAGTTATGGTTGATATTGGGAAACGTTGTTGTTCTTGTCGATTGTGGGAAATTGATTCTTTTCCTTGCAAACATGGTTTTTGTGCTATAAAGAGGAGTGGGTAGGATCTGAATTGCTTTCTTGATGATTACTACCATGTTAGTAGTTATTGTGATTCTTATTCACATTCTATCTATCCAGTTCCTAGTATGTGGAAGCCAAATGTAGTTGCTGATGATGACGTTGTTTTACCTTCTCTTTGTAAGAGACCAGTTGGACGTCCAAGAATTGAGAGAATACCTTCTAAGGGAGAAATCAAGAGAATTAGGTGCAGTAGGTGTGGAAAGATAGGAACTCATAATCGGAAGACATGTAAAGAAGCTTTGCTTTAGTTGTATTGATTTTAATTGAATTACTTTGTTGAGAGTTGAGAGGTGTTACTTGCATTGAATGATTGAGTATTTTGGAAAGATGTATCATTTTGGTACTCGCATTGAATGATTGAGGAATTTGTTGAACAAAAATTATATTTTTTGGTGATATTTTTACAGGATTAAGTTTCACAGATTTATATTATTTGATTTGGGTTAAATGTAGTTGCTGTTTTTGGTGTTTTATAAAGTGATAAATTTATCACTGGTTGGTTTGGACAAGTTGATGGATTATTTTTTTTTGTAAGAATGATAAATTTACCATCAATGTGGTTCTTGAATTTTGTTATTTTGAAGAATGATAAATTTATCACTTATTGTGTGGGAAGAGTTGATGGTTTATTACATTTATGTCAGTGGTTGATAAATTTATCACTGTCATATCCAAGCAAATGTTCTTTTCTATAGTGATAAATTTATCATTGTCTGCATACTGTTTTGTGGTCACTCAGAAGCTAGCTTTGGATGTTTGAGTTGTTTAACTGAAGTATCAAATGGTTTTAATTATTCAGAAATCACCAAGGATGGCATGTTCTTACATTCATTCTCAAAGTTGGGAATATCTACAAATTGTAACAGTATTTTAATTTCCAATTTGGACAATGTAAGAGTGCTTGTGTTTTAATTTTCAATTAGGTAAATTTTTTATTATTTTTTTATAGTGTTTTGTTTACTTGAATTAGGGAAAAAGAATGAGAGAGAGAGGGAGAGGGAGAGGGAGAGAGAGTCGCTGGTTTTTTTGTTTGAACAGTGGTAAATTTATCAGGCTAAACAAAACACTATAAAAATAAATTTATCAGTATAGTGACTCCAAACCTATTATTAACCTTTAAATTCAGTACAAATACTCGGATTAGAATCAATATTTTGAATGAAATTTGGATAACAAGACTGATATCAAAAGCCAGATCTGGTAACGATATGGCTAAAAAAGACTGAATGTTTCATTGAAGCAAATTTGAGATTGTAATAACCAAGCATTGTCCATAACTTTGACATTGTAACAACCAAGCACTGTTCATAACTTTGACATTGTAACAACGAAGCATTGTAATATTCATTGAAGGAAAGTAAAACCAAAATCATCAAAATACAGGTAACACTGTAACAAGCAAACAAGCAAAATGTATGAAGTATTGACATTCTAACAACCAAATGGATCAGTGTTTCCTTTTGTTTTCTTCTATTCCAGATCTGTTGATTATTACAGAGGCAAGTCATCAATGTTTTCATCAGGTATTTGTCGTTGAGCAACTTGTTGGTCAGTCAAGAAGATAGTTAACATATTAGCTCTCAATTGATTGCATTCTTCCTTGGAAAAAGTAGGCATTATGTTGTTTTTATAAACATATTGCCTCATGATATAGCAAACAATGATTCCACAATCAAGCCTGCAAAAACATTTTGAAAACTAAATATTATAATTTGGTTTCGTCGTTTTTTTTTAATAACAATGCTTTGTTATTGATAAATTTACGACGTGTCTTCTTGTTGTGGGCTGCTGATGACGCTCTTTGTCTCCTGTTGAAATTTATCAGGGTGGATGAGAGTTGGCTTCTCATCCTTTATGTACTTATCAATAATCTCTCTTTGCAACATATACATTTGTATAATTATTCTATAAGTCAGTTTGAAACAATTAATGAGAAACCATGGATTTAAAGAATGATAAATATGTTACTGTATAAATTTTTGATGTATAATTGAGCATGGATCAGGATTGATGTATTAGATTAATGTTAAGTTTGATAGTGAAAACATTTTTACCACTTCATTTGCGCATTGAAGTGTGGATCTTTA